AAAAAAAAAAAAAAATGCGGTAGTGAGGAGTCCACGCGTGGAGGCTCTACGCATCTGCTCATGGCAAGACACAACGCCAAAAAACCGGAGGTGCTTTGTAAAAAGAACATGTATGAATACTTTTCTTGGGGGTTGTTGGAGTCATAAAAACGTAGTCACAAGGAAGAGGATATTTGTACTTTTGATGGTGCTTTGGCTTCGTTGAAGCGCTGCGTTGCACTTGTGTTGTTGCGCCTTCCTCGTCGTCATCGTGAGCCTCATGCGTTCAGGGCAGCCCTGATGCTCTTAAAAAATGTCTGGCATTGTTCTACGGACAAATTTCATGATTAGCGGTCGTCATCACGCCACAGCCGCCGCCACCTGCACCGATGACTATATGCCACGGCCACACCACTTTCTTATGCCACACGGCTCGAATAGGTCGTGCTGCTCGAACAGGTCGTGCTGCGTCGCGCGTTGCCCACTGGAAGTTCTGATTTATCATTGATGGGCCAATGGGGTTGGAACAAATCATTCCCGACGGGTTCTTCGCATAGTACAGACAGGTATACAACGTGGCATACGTTTCAAACTAAAGGTGGGCGGGCATGCCCAAGTTCAAGTTCCCATCATCAGGCTTTGCACTTGGTCTTCAGCATGCCCTATGGAACAAGCGAGGGTGATTATCTAGCTCGTTTGCTCAAAAACAAATACTGGTTGTGTTCTAGAACATCGGGTGTGGTCATTGAAGCCCAGGTGCACGCCAATGCGAGGCTAGAAGAACGGATTTTATGGGTTAACTGTTTTACTAACATAGGGCGCCTACTTGAACAACTTTCACATTGCTTTATGATCCTGTACCCGTACCCCCCCCCCCCAACTACCCATGCGTCACAAGCTCCACAGATGCAATACACGGCAAGACTGCTCTTCAGCGTCCCACCCAAACGTTCACCCTCAGCCACAAAGATTTGAGTACCCAGTAACTAGTACGTCTCCACAAAAACTGCCGCGTGCTCACAAATGACGACATGCAAACCTTCTATCAGGGACCACGCGCCATTTGCCAGCACATCCATCTGGATCTCACACTGTGTCGGAGAGGTGTGCACCGATGATGCATCTGCTAGAGGACAGTCGCCAAGCAAATCATGAATAAAGAAGGGACATCACACAGGTTGATCAGCACTGACTAATGTCTCGATTGAAAACTACGTCTCGACTGCATGACGGCAGCCGTAGAAAAGAGAACAGGCTCTGTGCATCACATCTGTAGGGGCGTAAGCACGCAATTTGACATTGCCATATGGTGACTAACCGCCTGCCTCCCTACTACAAGAGCCAAGGTGGTGATAATCGCGGTAATACGTGTCTGGCAATAGTCGAAGTGGCCAGGATACCAATAACACACATAGAGGGGATAACCAGCCTAAACAACAAATACTTGAACAAGCGGGCCTCCAACGCTGAATCTAACTTTACATTAAGCGTTCGTCCTTCTTTTCCTTTTAAACTTGAGCAGTGTGTTCTGACACCATTATTGTACAGTCGCGGTGCAGGAGCGCTCCTTTTTGCCACTAAGCCAGAAGAGCCGAAGCAAGATTCCACATGAGGCAGAAAGATAACTAACCAGAATTTGGGATTTAGGGTTTAGGGTTTAAGGTTACATTGGGGTTATATTGGGATAGTGGAAAATAAAATGGAAACTACTACTTCAGGTTTAGGGTTTAGGATTTTGGGTCTGGGAGTTAGGGCTTAAGGTCTATGGCCCAATGTTGAGAATGCGGGTGATTTGGAAAAGTTATTGTCTCTGCTGGCGGCGCAGAAAATGTTCGGCTGTTACAACCTTGTAATCTAAGGTTAAAGTATTGCCCCCTAACAGGGGCCCGTAGGCCTTTCAGGGGGGTTTTCGGGAGCCTTAAGGGTACGTATAGGGTATATAATCGGTTTATATTATGAGGGTCCAGGGTAAAGGGCCTATACTAGGGGCTCATGGCTTCAACCTAACATTTTGTTCATGGGAAGCTTAGGTCATGAAAAGGAAAGCTGTACAAAGCATGGTTCATGTCCAGTTCTCCTGTTCATATGATAGGGTTTTGGGTTCTGGGTTTAGAATTTAAAGTTCAGGGTTTAGGGTCTAAATCCTTCATCCTATTTAGATTTAGATCCCTAAACCCCAAACCGAACTGGAAGCCCTAAATCCGCAAGCCACGCCCCTATAACCGTTCTGCATGCCTGCACTTGAGCGGTGTACCAGCAGCCCACTAATAACAACTGATGAGACCTCCAATAACCCTCTCTTTAGTGTCCAATAACGAAAATATGGGTCGTATTAGAATTCAGGCCCAGAAAGGACCGTAATTTTGACCACATTATCTAGGCTCCCCCTTAACCCTAAAACCTAAACCCTACACGTCTGTGTCAGCATCGTGCCCCTCATCGTCCGGCATGTCTTTGGCCGGCACCCAGGGCTCCTTCCAGGGTTCAGGGTTGGGGGTTTCGAGGTTTAGGGTTGGGGTTTTAGAGGTTTAGGGTTAGAGGGTTTTATGGTTGACGTCTTTGGCTTCAGGTTTTCCAGAAGCCCCTACCTAAGCCTTATAAACCCTAAATCCAATAGTCCCCCACCACAAGGTCCATAGCTAATATAGTTTCTATGTGTTTGCAGTGGTGTCCTCAAAGCAGTTTCCCAAGGAAAACGAGAAAACTTGTTTTTCAAACGCGATCGCAGCAAGCCGTGCGCGAAAGCCGAGAAGCGTGCGCTAGCAAGATTTCGTCCAGCCCCTCAAATCCAAAACCCCAGGCCCTAGACCCTAAACCCCAAGCCCGGAACCCTAGGGATCCAAGTACACAAGTAATACCTACATTGGGCCCTAAAGTCTGTAAATATTCTCTCTTCGGGCTCCTTGGATCCCTAAAAGAACCCCAAACCCCCCAAACCCCCCAAACCCTAAACCCTAAACCCCAAACCCCCCAAACCCTAAACCCTAAACCCTAAACCCCTAACCCCCCAAACCCAGCCTTTAGGGGCTCCTCCAAGCGGATGTCTTCCCAGCAAAGCTGCACTGTTCCCCAACCTCGGTTCGGCGGAGTGGTTTAGGGGTTTGGAGTTTAGGGTTTGGGGTTTAGGAGGGTTTAGGGGTTTAGGATTTGGGGCTTAGGGTTTGAGGTTTAGGGGTTTAGGATTTGGGGGTTCAGGTTGCGGGCCTCAACTCTAAACCGTCTGATTAGGTTGTTGAATCGAGTATACCACCAGCTCAGGAACTACATATCAGCCCTAGATGGAACGTAGGGCTTGGGGCTTCTCAAAAAAATGTTACCCTTATAGGACCTTGGGATTTAAATACACTGATTTGAATCGCGAGGGCCTATTCAACTTACGAAACGGTATGCGGGCCTTCAAAGGTCACATGTTGATTCATGAGGGTCGTTCCTACGAATGTGGCCGTTAAACGGGGAACCCTGAAAGATGCAATGTCGCGGGTGCTTGTCCCCATGTAATCTCAGTTCCCGTGTCATGTTCCATTTTCCGGTCCATTTGATTCTCCATTATTTGGGGTAATGTCAGTCTCTGTTAATCCCATATAGAGTCCCTAAACCCAGCACCCGCAATCATCAAACTCCTGCGACCGCGCCGGGCAGCTGTTGTCCTCTTCAGTGGCCGTCTCGGGGTGAAAATGGTCTTGCCGTCCACGCAACAAGCGAGACTTTTGAGTGGCAATCACCTGAACCAAAGCTGGTATGGGATCCTGTTCCCTTACACCCTAAGCCCTTCACCCACAATCCTAAACCGATGCGTTAGTATACTAGGTCAGGCCTACAAAAGAATCATTTTGGCGGCCATTCAGGATTCCAATAGTTCCAATGCGTGCGTCGGAGCTTTGCATGGTTTGGTGAGGTGTTCGTCATTTCGGCATTACTAATTAATCTCTTCCCCTAATAATAAACGACGTCCCCCCCCCCCTAATAATAAATATTCCGGGGGGGCAGAAATTATTTATTATTAGTGGGGAATATTTATTGAAAGGATTT